TCCCTGCCTAAGCTTTTATTTTATCTTCTGTGCTCTCCTCTGAAAACATTAGGTCCACCCTATTGACCTAACTAGTAGATGTCTATACGGGTCATCATCTCTCTAGCCTAGGACCTTTTTACCTGCTTGATGCTCTTCCACCCCCTCCATCTCTTCGTCATATTGCTGCATATCCTTGAAGATTCTAGCCATTTACTCTAAAGGCTTCCTTTGCCTTTCTTCTCCCTCAGGTCTCTTATCTGCAAGTGAAAGAACAGCAATCCTCTGTCTACAAAGAGCACCTTGAATCTCAGAGCCCTGTCTCATTGGATTACTGTCTCTTTCATAGCTCTAAAGCTCCTAAGGGCAGGGAATCTGTAGCCCTTGTTCTGATCACACAATAGGGCATTGAGATGTTTCACTGAATAAATAAGTGTTTCTATTTATTCATGTACTTGATCTCTGGGCTGTTGACTCTTTTTGTCTATTGATTTATGATAATTAATCATTTCTACTAATGGGGTACCATGATATCCCAAGAAGCTTTTATTACCAACATTAATTTTAATTTTGAGATGATTATTAATATTCTCCATCTATCTCCTGAAGTAAGAAAGGGAAAGAAGAGAAGAAAGAAATCAGAGGCATTCCTGAGCCCTTGCTCTGTGCCAGGAATCTGCTAAGTGCTGTAAGATGTATATTCTAGGACGATTCATTTTAGCTTCATTTTATACATTAAAAGATATCAAAGTAGGAAGATGTTAAGTAGCCTACCAAACATCACACACGCAGATAAAATGGTACAAGCTGATGTGGCTGGTTGTACACTTCCCCTTTATCCAAAAACATTCAAGAAACATTTGGTGAATATTTGTACATGGCATGCATGGAAATTCAAGGTTTCCGCTTGTCTGTGAATAAGAGGGGTAGACAGATGAGTCACTGATTGAAACATGGCCTTGTTTATGCTATGCAAATGTATGCTCACGGTTCTGGAAGTGTCAAAAGTGAACCAACTTAAGTGGCCCACCTACTGGGAAGCCTGTTTTCAACCTCACTCATCTGCAGCTGAACCTCAGACCATAAGTGTTAACAAGGCAGAAGAGGGTAAGAGAGCTTTCCAGATACAGACGCAAGTATGTGCAAAGGCCTAAAGACCTCCCTCCACCTCTGTGAAACTCAGTTCAAGGAGGGAATTTATTCTCCCAGTTACACATACGGGCAATGTAAAGGTAAACAAGATATAGCCACCCTATTCCTTTCTCATCTAACTAAAGGACCCTGTACTGATTTTTTTCTCTAGTATTTATGGATAGGTTTTTTTCTAAGTCCCAGAAGACCAACTCAGTCTATCAGATGAATATATCTGATACATATATATATATATATATATATATATATTTATACACACACACGCATATATATACATACACATATACATGTATATATGTATACTCAATACATATATTAAATATTGGCCAGTGTAAAGATCTTTTTCTCTATGCTCTGGTAAGCATAAATATTTTACCGATAAAAATGAGTGCTGCCTTTTTGGGGCCCAGAGAAACAAGAGAAGCATTTATGCAAAGAGACCCAGCAAACCACTGTGAACCAGGACAGGGATGTGTTGGCAGGGATGTGCTTGTTTCCAGGGCAATCTAGAAGCATCGAGCAAAGGCGCCCTACACTTGCGGCTCCCTACGGGAAGTCAGACTTCCTGGCGAGAGACGCTTGAAACCATACTTGAAATCTCGGTCCAAAAATAAGGTCAACAGAACATTTTGGATTAAACTGGATGTTTATGCTACTTTTCTTTGATTTGTTGTCATTTTTGAGCATTGGTGAAATGTAATTGACAAGTAGAATTATATTGAAAGTATACAATGTGATCATTTGATGTGCGTGTATATTGTGAAAGGGTTTTCACAACTGAGTTAACACATCCCTCACCTCACATATTTACTTTTTTGGGGTGTGCCTGAGAACTCATAACGTCTACTTTTTCAGCAAACTGCAATTAAAAAACACAGTATTATCAGCTGGAGTCACCATGTTATTATGCATTAGATTCTCAGATCTTACTCATTTTATAAAAGAAACTTTGTGCCTTTTTACCATCCTCTCCCCATTTTCCCCCTCCCCTAGCCCCTGGCCACCATCTGTCATCGTCATCAGCAAGTATAACAGTTGGTCTTAAAATGCACAGAAAACCACCAAACTCCGCAGTTCCGACCAACATGTATAAATGGGCTAGAGAATGACGGGCTGTGGCTCAACTGTAGCAAAGTGCTTCTGCAAGATGTTTGATCAATGACAGGACTGTTGAAACCAGCACCTATGCAGACATTTCGCACTGTCTGGTGTCTGCTCTTGAGAGTGCACCAGTGCCACAGAGTACAAGCAGCAATAATTCCTTATAGCCTGTGACTGCAGAGCTGGAGGTACTCCCAGACTGCAAGAAAGGGGTGAGCACATCAGCAAATAAAAGTGATTGGAAACCCTGTGGCTTGACTTTAAAGTTTTATTTTGTTGTTGCAGTTATTTTACTACAGATGGACAAAAATTCAAGCAGGGTAAGGGAGTTGCTTAGGCACAGCAGAAACAAAGGATTCTGTTCTGTCTCTGTATCTTTTCGTTCGTTAAAAAGAAGGAAAAGTCCCTTGAAACAACAGCTCCTGCCTTGAGAGATAACAGGAAATCTTAAGAGACTACTGCTTTCATTGATTTGGGGCCATGAGCACCTGAAACGATGCAACCGGATGCAGAGTAATTATTTTGCCTCTCATGGACACTAACCATAAACCAAGCAGATAGGTGTGCATGCTAGTTTCAACATCACCTCTCTGGGATGCCAGTCTTCTCCTGGGAACAATAGGTGCTATTCATTTCAAGGGAGAAACTCACACAGCAGGCAAAGTAGAAGGTGAACAACATGTAACTACCCAGTGGTTATTTGCAAAAAGCAGTTAACTCTTGAGGTTTCTAGTGTTGGGATTGTGGGGGAGCTTGTTTTCTTTTTAATGCTCTTGACTCTGACCTTGTCAGAAGAGGTCATCTACGATCCCTGCAGTGCTTCTGCATGGGAAGTGGGGAGCCCCTGTCCCTGGACAAGTAGTCGCTGAAGTATTAACTGCAATGGTAGTGAAAGTGTTACTGTCTGCCTGTGTTCCGATTCGGATGATGGGAAATATCTGAGTGCATGCCCCTGTCTCTGTGGGGGAAATTATAAACCCTTATTAGGACATTTCTGCTTCCTGAGAGAAGAAAGCAGGGTTTAACGTTTGAGCATAGCCTGAATTCCAGGCCATCTATCAATCAGACAAAACTTACTGACAGTGATAATAAGGCCTTAAGGAGACTCATTTAAAAAAAAATGAAGAGAAACTAAGCTATCTAGGTTTCCGTCTTTGAGCTGGGAAAATGAGTTCAAGTAAGAAGAGTTTTGAGAATGCCCTTAGGACAATGATTAATTTATTTATCTCAACGAGCTAACAGACCGTTTATACACTCGCCCTTCCTCCCTCTATTCCTCTCTTTATTCCTACACTCCCTCTTCCCTTTCGTCTCCATCCCTTCATTCATTTATTCCTTCCTTCTTTCGTTCAACATTTAACTGTTATAGCTCAAGCACTATGTACAGAGAAACATCTCCAGTAGCTCTCAGTGTGGGTGTCTGTGTGCATGCGTGTGCATGGTGGGGAAGGGGCTGCTTTTATTTGGGGAAAGACACAGAAGTCTTTTTAACAAACTGTTACAGGATTTATAAAAAGTAAATATTTTCTGGTAGAAGAAGAATGGTTTTCCTGGAGTAACTGGAAAATAAGCAGTGAGGGAAGTGACTTTCAGTTGGGTCATCAAGGAAGAATCATCCAGTTTCCTGGAGTAACTGGAAAATAAGCAGTGAGGGAAGTGACTTTCAGTTGGGTCATCAAGGTGAAACAGGAGAAGAGCATTTCAAGCTGCAGACAGAAACTCCCCGAGGCTTACTGGGGGGTAGGAAGCAAATGGGCACTTCTGGGGAATCACAGACCTTTCCGTTGTCAGGAGGTGGGGCAGCAACAGTGAGATGGGGCCCACCAGATAGGCCTCGGGTGCCACCCTGAGCCCTGACTGCGGGGAGTGTTTTTATATATTTATATTTTCTCACCTGGATTTGATGGCTGGGCTGAGTGGCTCAGGGCAGGCAGAGGTGCTACTTTTGAGGCATGTGATTATTTCCATGAAGAAAAGAAGCAAAGGAAGTAAAAGTTCTGCAAATCCCAATGAAAGCAAATTATAGACCATCCCAAGTTTAATTCACTTTCCTGTGTAGAAGTCTTAGAGAGTATGATCGCCCACGTTATTTATGTAACAGAATTATTATTTTCTATTTAACATGGCTCTCTGTAAGAATGCACTACATAAGACATGCCTCCGAGGCATTTTAAATAGACTTTTATTCTATTTACACATAGATTCAGACATCACTGTATTTCCCCCTAACACTGGTTCAACAATAGAGAGAATGGTCATTCTTGCTGTACTGGCCACTGCACACACATTGGCTGGGCCCCTTGGTTCTCCGTAGTGCAGAGGGTAGTAGTAGGTAGTTCTGCAAATTTTAAATGAAAAAATTAATTAGATCAGTTGGCTATGTAATCACTATTCAGGTCACCCCAATAAAACCACCTGCCTTGCATCTGCCCAATACGTCTGGAAAATTTAATATACCGTCAGTGAGATTGTTGCAGGAGAGCACACGCCATGCATGGACTTATTTGAAAGGCTGAGCTAATAACACACAGTATCTTTGCTAGAATCGAGCCTGGCCCTCACCAAGTAAAGGTTTCATTATTGTTTTTATGTGAAGTGGAAATTTTGCTGTCAGGCTTTATAAATAAATGCAATAGATGTGTTTCCAGGAGGGTGGCTTTCGAAGCCTATGGTCATGAATAGTGTGTGGGGCTCAGCTGCGTTTCTCTGAGGCACGTGTGAAGTCACTGGGGCTGATGTTCCCTTTCATGTTTCTTCACCTTTTTCAGGTCTATGATGGGATCAAACAAGGAGCCGGATCTCGTGCATCTCGAGGCCAGAACGGTGGACGGTCGTAAGTACATCCAGTTTTCCATCATGTTCACAGTAATGTTAGTGTCATAACCACGTCTGTGTTCAGGAAGGTCATTGTCAATAATCCAAGTCATTTGGACATGAAGACTTTTTCTTTTCTTAGTAATTGAGCATTGTCTTAATGATTTTTGATGACTATCATTCAGTCAAGGTGTTTTTCTTTCCAGGTAATGAGAACATTGAAAATTCCTTATTTCTACTGTGTTTTGTTCTTGCTGCTGCTGTTTTGTTTTGATTGGTTTTTCCAGTGTCCTTATTTTATCAGATGACAGCCAGGCAATGCCTCCCTGTCTTGTTTGGAGAAACACAAAGCACTTAGGAAGCACAGATGAGGAGAGAATCATCCTGTGTGTCCCCATGATAAGCACCAGGAGGGGACAGTTTGCTGAGTCAGTTGCTCACCTTTGTTGTTCAGGACAACCCTAGCTGGGCCACCTATAGGAAAGGAGTACAGTTTATATGGAGATTGCAGCATTAGGTACATGATACAGAGGAAAGTAAGGTGAAAATCCAGAATTTAAACCATGTCTGAAAAAATCAAAAGTCTGCTCACTAATTGTGTGACCTCAAAAGCTCTTTATGCCTTAAGCTCTACTTAAGCTCTTTATACCTTAGTGTCTTCACTTTAGATTAAATAAGTTAACAATAATGTGTCCTGTAGTAACTGACATCTACTGAGCACTTATCCTGCACCAAGAATTATGGCGGAGCACTTTATATACTTTATCACAAGGAATCCTCACAATCTGTAGGTTGTCATTCCCCTTTTGCAGGTGAGCAAACCAAGTCAAAGAAAGTATTTTTTGAAGATTTTGTTTATTTATTTTTAGGGAGAGGGGTAGGGAAGGAGAAAGAGAAGGAAAGAAGCATCAATGTGTGGTTGCCTCTCACGTACCCCATTCTGGGGACCTGCCCACAACCCAGGCATGTGCCCTGACTGGGAACTGATCCAGTGACCCTGTGGTTTGCAGGCCCACACTCAATCCAATGAGCTACACCAGCCAGGGCAGAAAGTTTAAATAACATATATAAGCAGCAATAACAGAAGTTTTCCTCTCCTTCTTTGGTCCTGAGGATCTCCACAAGGTCTAAGAGTTGACCAGGACCCACCAGACCTAAGGGTGGGCACTAAAGGTGAAAACGATAAAGGCAAAAGGGAAGTGTATAAGACAAAGGGATGAGGAGAGAAAAGATGGGGGAAGAAAGAGGTCCCAAGTGTAGAGGAAAGAAAGAGAATAGACTATCCATAGTTAACACAGCACTGTTAGAGGTTGCCCAGCACTGAGCCAGAGAATGATAATCTAATTATTGAGATAATCCCTGTTTCAGTACCAAAAATATCCCTCACAACTCAAAAGCTTCATCATCCCTGGCACTTGTGCCTGTCGACTTGTCCTCAGCTCTTCTGAACACAAAGGCCGCCATACGTGCACTTTACCAGCTGACAACTCACAGAAGGTCACCGGTTACCCTGTAGCCCAGACCCTTCAGAAATGACAGGTGCTTCGCTACTGTGCACACACCATGAGACCTTTCAGCTCTAGAGGTTTCGCTTCCTGTTTGGAGCATGAATATATTCTTTGGCAGAGTCAGTGGAAGGATAGGTCAGGGTCCAAGCTGGCCATCGCCTTCCTCCTTTATGAATTCAGGCAGGGCTGCCGTATGCCATGTCACTGCCCCGCACTGGGCCCGGTGCAGAATGAGCTCCACAGCAGAGCTTCTTCCCCACCGCTCCAGTGGGGTGGACATACATACCCCACTGCCCTGGAGCTGATGATGTCGTCTTGGATCCCAAGGTTCGCTTCTTACTACACAATAGCCAGCACAGTCTTTTCCTAAGGTAAAAGCATTCATGATCTGTTTAGAGCTTTGATTTCCTTCCCATGTTCTAGGGATAAACAGAAAAGTTCTCACCTTGACCCATAGCTACAGCACAAGCAGGTGCCTGTCCACTTCCTCAGACTCATCTCACTCTGTCCTCTCCTCGCTTCTTGCCTGCAGGCCCTTGAGTTTGCTTTTAATTATTGGAACACAGAGGGTTCTAGGACTTGGTTTAAGGCTCCAATACCTGCTGTTTCCTCTGCCTGGAATATTCCCTTCCTCTTGTCCAATTAATTCAGTGTAATTAATCATTGTGAGGGGTTCAAATTTCAGGTTAAGCATCCAATTCTATTTTTTTTACCTTGTATTTTGAAATAATTTTAGACTCACGTAGAAGTAGCAAAGAATAGTAGAGCTCCTCTGTCCTTTTCACCCAGCTTTCCCCAAAGATAGCATGCAGTAAAACTGTAGAATGATAACAAAATCCAGGAAAGTATCATTTCTTAGGGGAAGTCTTTCTTGAACTCCCATTGTAAACCAGTTTCTCAGTCTCTTTGCTTTCATCCGATTCTATTATTTTTCTTCATTGTGTTCCTCTCAGTTTGAAATTACACATTCCATTTACATGATTATTTGATCACAGCTTTTTCTCTCCACCAGTCAGGGTTGTGGGTGCAGGGGCCATGTGCACCTTTGTTCCATAGTCTGTCTGCAGCACATGCCACAGTGTCCACATGTATTGGAGAGGGAGCGTAATGCATATTTGTTCAATGAATGAATGTATAGTTGACCAAGTGTCGGGGTTACCAGCTGGCTGCCTAATATCACTCACAAGGTTGCCTGAAACTCATGGAGTGCTGCATCTCAAACTTTAACATGCATAGGGCCCACCTGGCAATCTTGTTAAAATGTAAATTCTGATTCAGGAGGGACCCAAGAGTCTGCATTCCTACCAAGCTCCAAGGTGAAGCCGATGATGCTGGCCTGTGGAATATGCTTGGGGTCAAAAAGTCTCATAATAAAAACTAATAAAAGAGCTTTATGGTCTGTCTCCCATGACTACACCCCTTGTTTGAAAAGCTCTGGGTGGACTTGGCAACAACCTAGATTGCTTTCATTTTGAGCTTTTGGGCCCGCCGCTGCTTTCTGGCCTGTGGCGTGTAATGCACATAACCCCACATCCTGAAAGCAGCAAGGCCATCCCTTTCCCTCATCTGCACTTTTCCCCCACCCATCATTATTCCCGCGTCCCCTGCAGGCATGGAGGTTGATCATGCCCAACTGTCATCTCAGGCTCAGCTTACATAGGGCATGAAATGTATCAGTTCTAATTTTATTTATTTTATTTTACTTTTTTGCAAAGGCAGCATCTTCAGAAACTATCCAAGAGTGAAAATTCAATAAAGGGATTTAATTTGAAAAGTTATTCCTGTCAAAACAAAGCAGAAAAAGAAATCACCTACCAATTGAAGTAGAGGACCTAGGCATAACGCCCGACCTGAGTATAAAAAAATGAGATTTTCCACGGTATCAGGTCCTCCTTCCTTCTCCCTTCCTCTCTCCTTCCTCCCTCTCTCTCTTTCTCTTGATCTGTCTCTCCACAGTAACCATGGCTCCAAGTAAAAGAAACAGACAGGAAGAGGAGGAGGAGGAAAGGAATGAATTCAGAGAGCTCAGTGTACGGAAACGGGTTAGCAGATGTAGGTGAGAATGTGTAGGTATTTCAAAATTGGACTCTAGGCTGTTCAGTTGCTCCAAGAATTTCAATATTTATACGTTATCTCTGTCCCCATCCCCTGATTGAAATCTCTCTTATTTCTCTAACTCTTCACTAATATTTAGTATAAAGGTTAACTATATGGAATCCATTGTTTATATTGTAAGCCATACATCTTGTAGAAAATATGCAAAAATAATATAATATGAACATTTTTTTCTCTGATTTTTATGGGTTTAGGAACTTTGTACCCAAGGCACTGCGACGTTTGACAGAGGAAAAATCCCCCACTAACTTATTTGGCTCATCCCTGTGGGGTGGGTTGCAAATGCTTATCTGGATTTGTTATTCAAAGTTTAGTTTCAGTCTCATACCAAGTCTCCCTAGATGACATTTTATAATGACTGCCTGTTTCATTCGAAGTCTCATATCGAGGGGAGGGAAGCTCTGGGAAGCTTTAGCTCTTTGAAGGTCTATGACTGGCATAGACGCTTCTTGCCAGTTGCGCTGTGAACCCTGGATGTATTGTAGTTTATAATCGCGACAAGGATGCTATTCTTTCCGTATTAACTACGCTTTGGGAGGCAAGCTGGAGAGAGCAACCTCAATTACAATCAATCACTGGAGGCATTATTGGGAAATTTTAAGCATATTTATCGAATGTGGCACTTGTTATTGGCCCCCACATGCAACTGAGGACAGATTGACAGGTCCTTATCCAGGAAACAAAGTTTTAATGTTCACAGATCACATGTGTGTGTGTGAATGTGTGTGAACGTGTACACACCCACACATTGTACATTAAATCTGCTACCCAGCACATCAAAACAGTGACAAGGAACCCTGCATTCTATTGATTTACCTAATATAGGCACATTTGTGTACATGCATGTAATGTACATAGATAGCTACAGAGAAAATGGTGATCAAACTGTTTGATTAAAAGCTTTGTTAAAAAATCGTATCTTATTTAATGTTGGTTCTGTGTAGAAACTGTAACTCAGAGCCTGACACATTTAATGTTTATTGATTTGATAAATGTATTTGTTAATTAATAACATTAACTATACAGGCATTTTTTTTATAAAGCAGGGCCTTTAACCATAGGGTCTGAGAGACAGGTGGGGCTAGTGGGTGAGCATAAAAATTCACTAACTCCCTGAAATGTCGTGTCACATAGTGTGTGTGTGTGTGTGTGTGTGTGTGAGTGTGAGTGATTTTGAAGAAAAAGAACACAACTTTTACCAGAATTCTTCCCATGGCAATCACATGTGGATGTCGAGTTCTATATTTACGCTCATCTGTAAACATCACCTTGTGAGCAGACCTGGAATACCAAATTGGGCCTTTCTCCCTTCTCGAAAGGAAAGGTCAGACTGGTGCCTTGACTGTTTCCCTACCGGTGGTATGTGTTCCGTGGGAGCAGGGACAAAAGACGGAGG